AAGGCGCCCTGGCCAAGATTGGTGCCACCGTGGTGACCTACCCCATGATCGTCGTCAAGAGCAGGCTGCAGGTGGGCTGGACGGGGCACGCGCGCGCGCACGCGTGTGTGCGTATGTATGGGGAATTGGCCGAGATGTGGGCCTGAGGACCGCCTGCATGTGTGCAGGGGGTCATCTTTGTGGAGGCGACAAAGAAACTGCCGGCCCGTCGCTGCGCAACACGCTGTGCCCACCCCGGCCAGTCCATGCCAGTCCCGGCCCGAAGGCTGTCTGTTATGTGGCCACGCTCCAGCATTCCACCAGCCCCATATACCAATGCCAGCCCCCACCACCACCACCTCGATCGGCCCTCTTAACCCTCCCTCTCACATGCCACACCCCACCACCACCCTCACCCCCATGCATCCAACATCCCACACACGCAGGAACACACACACCCACGCACACCCTTTTTGCCGCACCTCCCCTCGCCCCCCAGGCAACCAACGAGCACACGCGCGACGAGAACCGCTACGGCGGCACCGCGGACGCCGTGGCGCGCATCTGGGCGGAGGAGGGTGCTGGCGGCTTCTTTGCGGGGCTGCGCGCCAAGATCCTGCAGACCGCCCTCAACGCGGGCCTCATGCTGGCGCTCAAGGACTCCGTCACGAGAGCCAGCGAGCGTGCGCTGCGCGCGGCCGCGGCGGCGCGGGGCGTGCGGGCGGGGGCGCTGGCGGGCGCGGTGCACGCGGTGGCGCGGTAGCGAGGCGGGCCGGGTCTTCCTGGTCGCGCGGGGTCGGTCCCGCCCGCCAGATTGCTTGTGTTGGGGGAGGGGCTGTTTTGTGCCCCCTCCTGTGTTGTTGAGCGTCATTGCAGCCGCGGCGAAGTGCTGCGGGGCACCGTCCCTTGCGGTTTGGTGTAGAAATGGCTGCCGCTGCGGGGCAGCCTTCCTTTTTCAATCCTACCGGATACTGCTGATGAAGATGGTGACTGGTCGAATTGTTTGGACTGGTCGGAATCATGACTTTGGATGTGCCACGACAGTAAAACTCGATGGTTACACGTGGGCGTCATTGCAAGTGATGCGGCATGCGTGTATACATAGCGGCGGCATCAGCCAGCCATCAAGTGTGGCTCAAGGTGGCGGCGCCAGACAAACCGCAAAGGTGCGAGCTATGCCAACACACTCCCCAGGGGGCGGGCACTCACGATGCACCAAGCACGAGACGACCAAGGGCGCCTCTCGGGCCAGTCTCTCCGGGAAGCTGGAGGGGCCTGCCCTGCCCGCCGCGACCCCGGCCGGACTGTGCGGGAGCCAGCTGCAAGCCACACGGGCCCCTTGGCCAAGCCAGCTGCGGCGGCGCCGCGCTTCGCCCCGCATTCCTACCAACCAAGAGTGAACGGCCTGCCCCATGCCCTAGCCCAGCACGGGGACTCAGCACGCAAGAGCCAAAACACAACTTTGGGATGCCACAACATAGCAAATGAGGCGTCCAGCAGCCCGGGGTGGGAAGGGGTGCAGGGGGCGACACGCATGGCCCCCCGAACGCAAGACAGCGACCATCTTCCTCACGCACAGCGCCGGCTGCGGCGCGCCTGCAGACACACGCACAAAAAAGTCACAGAGTCGGGGTCAAAAGCTGGGATATGTGTGCGCGCGCCGCCCATGGTGGTACACACGTGGTGAGATACAAGTGCATTGCATGGGACGGTCTCCAAGGCACCGCACACACTCTGCCCCGCGGTCAGACGGACGAGATGCGTGAAACGGTCACGGCTGGGACCTGCGCCGCCGCCGTCCAACGGGGTCGCCCGTGCAGGCATGACCCAACGCGACGACGGCGCAGCTGCTCAGCGCGCTCAAGGCCCAGGACGCGGCGACAGCTACCACCGCGTGATCCAGCCGCATCCTCAAAACCAGCGCAGCAGCCCCCAAAGGCGCTGGCGCGCCCGACGATCCCCAAAACATACTCCCCAAAAACGGCCGCCCGGCCCGCGCCTTGACTGCGCTGGCGAATGTGAAGGCGGTTGGGCGAGCGGCTGGCTGGCTCCCGCCAAACGGCCCCGCGGCATGAGAGCCTCTGCCGGGCTCGGCAAAATGTGGATCGTGTCGTCGTATGATGTCATGAGGGTGGTGATCAGTGATCTGCAAAACATCGGCCACCCAGGACGCGCGGTTTCAGCGCCCCTTCCTTCCATCCTATCCGCCGGGCCTCGGGGCCCCCGCGGGCGCGCTGTTGTCAGCGCCCGTGCCGGCGGGTGTGGCGGCGCGCTGTGCGGTGAGCACGCCGCCGCTTTCCAGCTTTTTCGTTTGTACAGCTGCCCCTGGCCCCCGGGGCGCGCTCGGGTCCTGAGCGCAGGGCGATGCGCCCGCCGCGGTTGCTCGGAAGCTGTGCGCTTCCAGCACCAGGGTGAACTCATGAGGCGTGGTGGCGACGCAAAGATTCGGTGCGCCAGTCCATCAAACGCGGTCAGGGAGCCGCAACAATGCGGGTGATGCCCGCGCAGGCACGGGCTCACTCGGCCATGGAGGTGTTGACAGACTGTGGGTGGGTCAGCAGGGGCGCGGGCGAGGAGCAAGGACGGCCAGGGTGAGCCAAGGGACAGGGCTCGCACGCGCACGCACGGATACCCAAAGCAGGTGTGCGCAACCTTGCCGTGGCCCAGCTGATTCCTCCAAACAACGCGCATGCATGCACACACACACACACACGCACACACCAACACACGCGTGCGCATGCGCGCGCACCTGAAACTCGTCCGGGTCTGCCATGTGGTGCGCCACCATCCCGCCCTCCAGGGAGCGCTCCAGGTCGAGCACGAGATCATAGTAGGCCGCCATGCGGTCAGAGTCGATGCCCCAGCACGAGTAGCACTGGGGGGGAGGGGCCAGGGCGGAGTGGGGGCAGGGCGGCGCGAATTGAGCTGCAGGCGGGATGGCGGGTGCGGCGGCTGCAAGGGAGGAAGGGGCCGCAAGCGGCGGCTTGCGCGCGCACTGACGCGCGTGTAGCACACACCTGGGAGCGCTCGCCGGGCGACGGGATGAGGGAGCAGACCTCAAAGGCGTCCCTGAGGGGGGCACGGAGGGACCGCCAGGCGGGACGCCTTGCATGATGCAGAATCTTCCCAGATCACGCCAGTGTGCGCCAACCCGATCGCACAAACATGCCCGCAAGCGAGGCAGGGGGCGGAAGGAAGGGCGCGGCTGGCATGCAAGGTGCTTGCGCCGGCTGCACGCATGCAGAGCGGTAGAGCATTTGGCGGCTCATGCGGTAGTTGAGGGGCGCGCCGCGCCGGAAGTGGGCAGCGGAGGAGAAGGGTGCGGCGCCAGCAATTAGCCCGCGCACCTGATGTCGTCAAGGCTCATCTCTGGGCCGCTGCTGGTGAGCTTGAACACTGGCCGCTGCTGCGGGGAGTCTGCGCCAGCGCTGGCCACGATCCGCGCCCTAGGAGAGCAAGGCCGCGCGAACAAGGCGCCAGGCGTCGCGGTCCCAAAGCCTGCTGTGCAGGATCGGCTGCCCGTCGAGCTCTGAAACATCGCTGTGCGAGCGACGAGGTTCATGCTGGCAAGCTGGCTCGCGCTTTGGGGGACCACCAGCAGTGTCGAGATCGTTATAATGATGTTACAGCGCGTCGTCGGGTTGGACCGTGATGATGCTGAATATCACAAACGAAAAGCAACCGTGTGATGAGGAAGCCCCGCGACTGCGCTGCGCGCGTGAAGCTTGCGGAAAGCTGACGTGTCACAAAGGGCGGGGCTTGCTTGCTGGCGTACTGAAAGTGTGAAACTGGAGGTTATACAAAGCAATGAATCGGTGAGTGTCGTGCTTAGACTCGGTGCAGTTGCGCTGTTGCGCTGCAGCTGCTGCGCCAAAGGTGGCTGGACCTGGGCGTCGTGTGGAGGGCACCCTGCAGGTGCGACCACGACTGGCGATAGCGACCACTGACTCACTCCCTACTTGGCAATAGAGCTGCCCCACAAGTCATGGTGCTATGTTACAGCGGCGCTATGTGCAAAAAGCCTGCGCAAATTCATACCCCTGCAGCTCTGCAGCAAGAGACGATGCTGCCTGCGTGCATGTGAAAGATGGCGGATTACCCCAGCAAGACGCCGCCCCCGGCCTTGGGCGGGGATCCGCTGAAGTTGAGCAGGGACCGCAGGAGATCTGGCCTCATCTGCAGTACAAAAGAGAAGGCCGCACGCAGGGCGGCGCTGGCAGCCAGATGGTCTTCAGTACCGCCCGCGGCCCCCGCCCCTACCGCCTCCCCTGCCGCCGCCAAAGCCACCGCCGCGACCCCCGCCAAAGCCACCCCCACGGCCGCCGCCAAACCCGCCCCTGCCGCCGCCCCTGCCGCCGAACCCACCGCCGCCGCCGCGGCCGCCGCCCCTGCCGCCAAAGCCACCCCTGCCGCCGCCAAAGCTGCCACGCGCGCCACCCCTGCCGCGACCACCTGTGGGCGCACACAACAATTGCAAAATGAAGCTTGCATGAGCCACGAGCATCGCAGATGCGAACATGATTGCATGCGGTGCGCATACCGGACGGTGTGCGTGTGACACTGACTGAGATATTGCAGCAGGTGAGCCGTGACAGCGGGGGCCCCACCTCTCCCCTGCCCTCCCTGACCAGAGGTCAGCGCACCTCCACGGCCGCCGGCGCCGGGTGCGCCCTTTGGCTGCGGCAGGAAGCGCTCCATTGGCAGCAGCTTCATGGGGTCTATGAAGAACTTGTCGCCCGATGTGTAGGACGACGCCTGGACGCCCTCCGACATCTTCACAGTGAAGTACTGCTCAGGGCGGGGGCGGCGCAAGGGGGGAGCGTGAGGAGGGAGGGTGGAGAGGCAGGCCGCATAGTTGAGGATGCACTTGAGGAAGTGGTCAAGGATGGTGGACAGAGCGCGTCGACGGATGGGTGGGGGCCGCTCGCCGCGGCTGCTGGGGCGAGTGGGGCGGTGCGCATGTGTCCTCTGGGCGCTTCCCGCAGCCCACGCACCACGTTGTTGATGGCCCCCAGGATCTCCTCCACCTTGCCGATCTGTGTCTTGTTCTCCAGGTAGATGGGCGCGTTGAAGTAGGGCACCTGGGGGCCGGCCGGTGTGGGGGGCAGGCACGAGGGGCTACTTGACACGCACCAGGGCCAGGGTTGGCATGTGGCCACGCTGAAGGTTGGGTAGCAGTCGCAGGCTGGAGGTGCTAGGCTAGAGTTGCCAGCTCCATCAATTTGCACCCCTGTCCCTGCAGGGGCTGGGAAGCAGCCGCATGCCCCAGATCACCTGCGCCACCCAAGCGCAAATGCACAAGGTCGAAGCAGAGCGCGCTTGCGTGGCAGGTGCGCCGACCGTATCTCGCTTGCCGACCACACACCCACCTTCTCATTGGTGAGCTTGCACACAGCCTCGCCTTCGCAGGGGTGGCTGAACGAGCCCGCCTCCACTACGGAATCCGGCGGCCCCTGGTCGTAGCCGTAGCCGCCGCCGCCACGCCCGCCGCCGCGCCCGCCAAAGCCGCGGCCACCACCCCTCCCACCGTCCCTGCCACCCCTGCCGCCATCTCTTCCGCCAAAGCCACGTCCGCGAGGAGGCCTCATTGCGGCAGAAACGGGACTCGGCCGGGTGCCTGTCTACAAAAGGGCTGTATGCTCCTTCTGCCGGTCGCTCACGGCTGTAACCGAGCTAAAATCCCACACTGTCCACGGGAGTCGTGCTCTGCTGCTTTTTCGAGGGCTGCGGTCGAGTCGCGGAAAGCGACACGGTATCCTTAAGATGCAGGTGAATATATGTAACGTGGCAGAAAATATTATGCTGGTCCAAACAATTCTTGGGACGCTTCCCAGCACAGATCACCTTGCATCAGTCGTACAATTCTGAACACGGCGAAGGCCACTGTCCCCCCTCCCGTCCCTTCAGATGTAGTTCAGACTCATTACTTCGCTTTGAAACTCCAACAGTACGAAGTGCCCCTTACTGCACTGTAGATCGAGGCTGTCTGCATCTCGCTATCCGCCAAGGTCGCAACCAAACAGGCTCAACAGCACGCAACTTTCGTTGGACGGAATCATAGGAGGGGCAGCTATCACCAGCAGCCATGGATCGCATCCAGCGGCTTGTGCAGGGCATGCAGGGCGGCGGGCCTGGCGGGCCCCCTGGCGACACGCCGCAGGTGGACACTGCCGAGCAAATCTACATCTCCTCGCTCGCGCTACTGAAGATGTTGAAACACGGTGCGGCGATCGGCGCCCGTGCGTGGCAGCAGCGATGGGCGCATGGCAAAGTAGCGGTATTGTGGTGCACCAAGCTGCCCTTGCTGTATGCGAAGTGCTGCTCCTCCCGGTCCCTCTCAGGCCGTGCGGGCGTGCCCATGGAGGTGATGGGCCTCATGCTTGGGGAGTTTGTGGATGACTACACCGTCAAGGTGCGCGCGGCGCGTTGCAGCGGGGAGCGCCCCTTGAAGCCTCCCGCAGCGCTGGGTCCCGAACATGGTATGTGAACGTGAGGGCTGCAGCAGCTCGAGCAGATTATGTTGCTGTCGCACACAGGACTAGACCATGGAACAGCAGTCTCAGCAGGCACAGATTTTGCAAATGGTCCTGCAGCTGCGGCATCACTCCCACGCAAGCTCTATCAGCAGCAGCGCAGCAAGGCCGCGGCGCGCCCCCCCACGGCTTGCGGCCCCTCGTCCCTGTGCCGCGCGCCTGCCCCAGGTGGTGGATGTGTTTGCCATGCCCCAGAGCGGCACTGGCGTGAGTGTTGAGGCGGTGGACCCGGTGTTCCAGACCAAGATGCTGGACATGCTCAAGCAGGTCGGACGGTGAGACACCCAGGGACCCGCCAGCGACACCACACGGGGTAGGGCGCGGCGCAGCGCGGATGGATGTTGGCTCCGTGCGGGCAGTTGTGCGTTGTCAGCAGGCGTCGAGGCGTTCAGGGACCGAGCCACAGCGCGGGCGGTGCCAGGAAGGGCCGGCGCGACACCCTGTTACTACGCCAACTGGTTCGGGTTGAAGGGCGGATGAGTGCTCCTGGTACAGCCGCTGGCCGTGATTCCAGCCTGGCTGATGATGCCTGCACCATGCGGCATGCGCGCCCCTCTCTACGCCCTCAGGCCCGAGATGGTGGTGGGCTGGTACCATAGCCACCCCGGGTTTGGGTGCTGGCTGAGCGGTGTCGACATCAACACGCAGCAGAGCTTCGAGGCGCTCAACGCGCGCGCGGTGGCTGTGGTGGTCGACCCGGTGCAGAGCGTCAAGGTGCGCATGCGCCCGCTTCAAGCTTCTGTAGACGGGCTGCAGTGGGTGTAAATTGCGATTGCAGCGCGTGTCATTGTGGGCTGGCGGGCGCACCTGCACTGCCCGCTTAAGTGACCCAGCAATCTTCCGGCGCAATGCAGCCCTTCCCCATCAATTCAAAACCCCCTCACCATTCCTTGGCCCCCCCCCCCGCCCCCAGGGCAAGGTGGTGATTGACGCGTTCCGCCTGATCAGCCCACAGACCATGATGCTGGGCCAGGAGCCGCGGCAGACCACATCAAACCTCGGGGCACTCAACAAGCCCTCCATCCAGGTGCGCGGGCCTTGGACGCGGGCCGGCTTGTCGCGGTGCTAGTGCAAGAACGCCTTCCCGGGCTGCTGGGGCCTGCAGTGGCCACTGCCGCGCTGCTCTCCACGCCGCCACCCTGCACGTTGCGTGACAGCTCTCACCTGCCCCGCCCTGCCCCTGCGTCGCTCTTAAACACACACACTCTGCCGCAGGCGTTGATTCACGGGCTGAACCGGCACTACTACTCCATCGGCATCAACTACCGCAAGAATGAGCTGGAGGAGGCCATGCTGCTCAACCTCAGCAAGAAGGTGCGGCGACAGGGGGGCGACCCTTGGGTGTGCATGTACCGTGTGCATGTGTGTGTGTGTGTGTGTGTGTGTGTGTGTGTGTGTGTGTGTGTGTGTGCGCGCGCGCGTGCGCGTGAGGAGGACTGGGGCGGTCTGGTGATGACGGATTGGCGTCCATGGAGCAAGCCCAGCGGACAGCGTTGTTGCGGATTGGGTCGAAGGGGACATCAGCGTTCAGACACAGCAGTTCAGGCGGCTGGCAGTGGGCTGTCGAGCGCATACACGCTCGACAGCTGGGTGCCTACGCCAGGCAGGGTGCTGGGTGGACTGCTCACCGCCTTGCCCTTCCTCCCGCGCGACCGCCAGGCGTGGACCAGCGGGCTGACGCTGGGTGATTACGACAGCCACGCCGCTGCCAACAGCAAGACGGTGGACGAGATGAAGGGCCTGGCGGCACGGTGGGTGGAGACGGGTGCAGATGCGCAGGCATGGGCAGGCCGCACGTGCTCGCGCGCTCTTGCTCTTCAGCGAGCGTGCAGGGCTCAGCCGATGTTGCCCACCAGCTTGTACAGCAGGTGGGGCTGGGTCCACCCGCAGCGCCCGGCAGCAGGGCAGCAGCAAGCCCTTGCTGCGCCCGGGCGCCGGTACCGGCAGGCAAGCCGTGTCTGGACAACCCCATCACGCTGCATCAGTCCTTCCTGCACCTGCCACCGCCTGCACCTGCCGCTGCCGCTGCCTCTGCTGCTCTGTTCATGCACCTGCCCCCTCCTTTTGATCCCCCCCTAAACCACCTCCCGCCAACAAAAGGTACAATGAGGCTGTGGCGGAGGAGGGGGAGCTGGCCCCGGAGCAGCGGGTGGTGGCCAATGTGGGCAAAATGGACGCGCGCAAGCACCTCGCGGCGGCTGTGGGCGGCGCCATGGGCTCCAACATCAACCAGGCCCTGGGCACCCTGCTCGACACGCTCGTGTTCTGAGAGCAGAGGGTGGCGGGGGCTGGGGCCGCACAGCAGCGGCATGCTGGTGCGGTGGCAGAGGTCGGCCGCAGCAGGTACACGTGTATGCGCTTAGCTGCCTGCGTGCGCCCCCACCCAGTGTAACAGTTTCTCGAGAGACGGTGCTACGGGTGTGGCACGATGCGCGATGATGTGTGAGATTATCATGCTGAATGCTGCTTGTGCTGCATGCGGAGTGTCAGCCCGAGTTGAAACCCTGAATCCTAAACAAGCCCAACCATAGTGCATGCAAATATTACATGTGGAACCCGACGGTGCACCAAAATGGTTCCAGCCAGCAACGTGTTGATCCTACATCTGCATGATGCCACAAACACGAAGAAGACCACAAAGCGGCACACATGTCCAGCAATTGGGCCCTCACTGCACATAGCGCAGGCCGCCAGGAGGGGGGGGGCACTTGACCCTGCGCGGCCACAACACATCAGAGGGACGCAGCAGCCGGACCTCCACTGCTCTAGTGCCGGCAACCACGCCAAAAGCTGCTGTGGCACGGCACCGGTCACTTTGCCACCGCCGGTGGCGTGTAAGGCCGGCTGCCGGGAGTCCCGGAGCGCGGGGGCGTCCGCGGCGGCCCCCCGCCACCGCCGCCGCCGCCGCCACCGGACGTCACGCCCGCCTTCTGCATCTGCTCGTTGAGCACGTTGTCCCACTTGCGCGGGATGGCCACGCTGCCGTCCGGCGCCATGTGGTGCGGCGCCGCCGCCAGCGCCAGCACCTCCCCGCGCTGCTGCGCCTCCAGCAGGGCCGCCTTCTGGGAGCCGCCGCCCGCTGCGCCGCGGCCCTCGCCGGCGGTGAGGTTGAAGTCGACGGAGCGGGAGGGGTCGGTGGGGTAGATGCGCTGCAGGTTGCTGACTAGGCGCTTGATGGCCTGGAAGTACCTGGAGGGGGGGGGGGAGGGGATTGCAGTAGAGTTTGAGGGAGAGGCGGGG